GGTTTCTACTGTTCAACATGTATTTATGCATTTTTCCATTAATTCCTATAAATCATGATTTCTGCTTCATAAAAAAGCAGATATTTACTGTATTTATCTCATTCATACTTTCTTGTTATTGTGTTTCTTTACTCTTTTGATTCTCCCTATAGTTAAATCTTTCCAGGGTTTATGTCTCACCTCACACATTTAACTTAAGCTCCTAAAATGCAGGGATTGAGTGTTTTCTTTTCTTGTCAACTTCATGATACTAATAAAGCGTTTGGTTGGGGATGGAAATTAAATGAATACTTGTGGCTACCTCTTTGGCTAGGCAGGCCCATTTTATTGATTGTTGGATTGGAAACAGAGGATCATTAGATAACAGATGTGAGAAATTGGAAGATACTAGACAAAAAAAAAAAAATAAAGTGGTTCAATAATTGTAACTGAAAGTTACAACTGAAAAGTTACAACTGAAAGTACTTGGCTATTGTTGACTAAAGCACCCAGTATCCTGTTAGAGCATTACATTAATTTGTCTGGGACCAAATCTATGGTCTTGAGGAATTTTATCCTCAAAATTATTCCCTCCATTTTTATTATCACTGTAACTTCAGTTCAGCATTAATTGTAACAACAACAAATAACCCATAAAGACTGTTTTTTTAAACACCTACCACATGACAGCTATAGCTTACGCTGATTGAATATTTAAAACTACCCAATTAAGTTTGTGCTATTATTGCTAGATGTTGAAGAAGATACTTTGAGAAGGAAAACATAATTTGCCTTGGGTCAAATGTCTACTGAGAGGAGTGATCCCGGGTTGGCATGACTCTCAAACTCAAGGTCCTGCCATTCCTCCAATTTTCTATAAAAATCTTCAAATAGCTGCCCTGTCTCTGATCACTGCCACTTCAGTCTGGACAGTAGTCTTCTGTGTACAGTATTCTTCCTAAAGCCCAACTCTCCCAGCTTCCTGGTTACATCAGACACCCTGGAGGCTTTGTGATTCTGTCCACACTGTTCCCTGCCAGGAGTGCAGCCCCCGCCTTCTCCAAGGGGCAGGCTCAGACCAATCCTCCAGGTTTCCGTTCCCAGCCTTCCCTCCTGTGAGTGTCCATCCTCCACCTGAGGCATGCTTCTTTGTGCTCTTCTTGTTCATACACCCATTATTTAAGTTATTATAGTAGTTTGTATTTCAATTATTTCCATATATATCTTTTCACTCAACTGAGAATTTTATGTTTAGAAATGCCTTACCAAAATTGTATCCTCCTAACAATAACAGAGTATCTTTCACAAACAGATACTCATTAAATATTATTGAATGAATTTGAGAGTGAACACACCTTCCCTCTGCTTGAAAACTCCCAATCTGAATTTAATGGTCTGTTAAATAAAATCAAACTTACTTAGCTTGCTATTAAGTATTCTTTAAGAGTTGGGCCACACCTTAATTTTATCCATTTGTTCTTATGATCTTTTGACTAATGATTT